TTTAGGACTTCTGTTAGGAACAAAACTAATTCCCTCTTACAGTAATCACTTAGGTCAGGATATTTATTACTCTGTCAGCCTTGGTCAATTTTGCTTTAAGTATGGTAGGGGCTGGGTGCACTAAATGACGACAATAATTTCTATTCCATAAGGTGGCAAATGGCAGTAAAATGGGTGCAACTAAATGAAAGCCCCATCCCTGCCAATCTAATCTCTGTCCTAGAGCTTGTGTGTGAGCTTTCTGGGTGGGTGGGTGTAATCAGTATCTAGTTAGCAGAAGTCAGGCATACTATCAAATCTTCTATAATACACAGAAATCCCCCCCCCTCTCTCTGGTAAGTCAGCTCATCAGCTCCAATGTCAATGCTGCAGAATTTGCAAAGGTCCGGAGGGCTGCATTTCAAAATCCCACTTGGGTTTTTACATTGGGTTACCCAGGCCACTCATTATGTGCAGCCATCCCACTAGGCACATTGAAAGTAGAAGAAAATTAATTTTCTACCTCTGCATTTGAAGAAATTAAAAAGAAACCAGGCAACTAATAGAGGTGGTGAGATGCCGGTCACTGCTGAGCCTCCTTCGGCAGATGCTGGAGGTTTTGCTGGTGTTCGTGAAATAATTTCTCTTCAGGGAAGAGTCAATCCCCTTCACACAGGCAGGCAGAGAGAAAACTGTGCGGGAAGATTAGGTGAAAGGTGCTTCTTCTGGTGAAAAGGTCAGCTGAGCTTGGCAGTCATGCCTGGCACTGCTTTTGACACAAAGTGACAGATTTGGGTGTGGTGGCTGTGAGAGCTGAAGAAGGAGGATGGCAAGCCATAGTCCAGTCTGGACAACTACAAGACCAAAGCAAAGCAAAGCAACAAAATATGTTGGCTTAAAATAAGCAAAACCAGTATGCAAGCTCTTAGGGAGGTAGAGGAGCAAGGATAGAACTCTTATCTGATCCAGACAGAATCAGCAGCAAGTCTGTTCTCTTTTTAAATGAATGAAAATCTTGTATTTGTTCAGTTTCCCCCCCTAAACTTCCAATGGTTATTCACTTTTCTGATGAACAAATTCTTTCTATTAACTAGAACCATCTGAAAATAATTAAGTCCACTAAATAGCATATTGAATACAGTGAATACAACTGAATACAATGAATATTTCTGTGCGCATTTATTTCAATTCCTTCCTTGTCAAAGTTGAAAAGAAACAAGTCATCAGGTTCCATGTACCTTTTCTACTGGGGCAGACAACCTCCATCTTCTTGGCCTTTTGTTTTTGCTTTACACTAAGTAAAATTTATTCTCCAGTTTTTAAGTCATGTTTATAATTTGAAAGCTATAATGAAAATATTACTTTCAGATTCATGTTCAAGGAATATTTTCTTCCATATTCTGTGTTTGTTTGATTCTGTGCTACATTTTAGGTGGAGATTTAACCCTTCTCTCTGTGGTAAGTCAGCCTGGCAATGGAGACATTGACCAAGAATTTTAGAAAAGAGAACATCTTTAAGTTCACAAACACTGTAAATGGTAGAGATAAGTCTCAAGTGAATAAAGTCTACTTTAAGGGATGAAGTTTTACCTAACTCTAGGATGGAACATGACAGTAACTGTGATCTCCAAAAGATATATTGAAAACCAAATTCTCTGATTCCAGCTCCAGGGGTCACATGACAGATAATACTAATAGATCATGAAAATTACCGAGACCCATTTTGCCCATCAGATCAAAAGCGGACCTCATAACTTACCTGCTGGTTGCACTCACTGTGTTTCATAGTCTGATAGGTAACACTGCCATGGCCCTAGCATGAGTCACAGAGTGACTTACTGGCCACGTCATTATTTCTATACATGATGTTACAGAATCCCCCGCCCCCAGTTAGTTCAAAGGACAAATATGCCTTAGTTCTGTGGATGTTGTTGGTTCAGCATTGTTCACTGGGCTGCATTTGGGGCACGGGCTAGGGTTGCAACCTCGTCTAAAGGGACGGCTCTAAAGGAGCGGCTCCAAATGCACCCCTGTGCTGACTGAGAGGAACCTTGGCTGTTTAGCTGAGAGTCTCAGCCCTGGGCTTTAGCCTAGGAGCTCTCCTGAGAGCTGGCTTCCACTAGCGCAGGAACGGGAGTCAGAGCGAGCCAGAGCATGACAGACGTCACCATCTGTGAAAAAAAAAAAAAGTCTTAGAAGTTATCTCTCATTATGTCAGCACATCACATTCACTAAAAATGAGCTGTTAGATTCATCCCACAGTCAGGAAAAGACTGATACGAGGGTGTGACTGCCACGGGGAAGAATGCATTCTCTTCCACATCGGCTGCTACCATTGTTTGCCAATCTTCTTACACATGGAAGGGTTTTTCTGTAGGTCAGATATTTGATTTCTTCCCATATGATGCTCATAAAATAAAATAAAAAAGATTCTTCACTTACTAGGCTGGTCAACCTGCTGTTGTGGAACAATAGACATGGGTCTGGATCCAGACGCGAGGGGTGGAGCGCAAGGGATGGAGTCCTAGTACCATCCAAAATGAACTTGAAGGCTACAGGTATTAGTCAAGGAGTAAGAGAGAGTAAGACTGTGGCAAGGAAAAGGGACAACAGATGGTGGAAAGACCTGAGGAGGAGATGGAAGGGTCAGGGTGATGTTTAAAATCTATTGCCAGAGTGAGCATAGGGTATAGCAATGTTTAATAAACTTTTTGCACTGATTGTTAAACACCCACTGAATAGTGACTTTATGTTTGGTTCTCTTTTCCCAGAGCGGTGTTCTAGATCACCTTTTAATTTCCTTGAAAGTATACACACTACTCACACCACCTCTCCTCTCCGTTTAACTGCTTCCCAAGTGGAGCACAAAAGGCGAAGCCAATTTAACAACATATATTAATTTGTTCAATCTGTAGCCTGATCTGATAATTAAATCTAAACTAAAACATTTCCTGCTAATGATACACACACACACACAAATGCACTGGAGAAGGATTCAATTACTTTGACTCCTGCTTCCTGTAGGCCTCGGAACAACTGTCAATATGAATGTTGCGTATTTAACACAAAGCCCCTTAATGCAGGACAAGAATTCTTCGTGCCATTTCAGAAGGATACGCGACAAAATTATGTGGGCTATGATGTTCCAAGAATAATCTTATAATTTATAATTTATATAATCTTATAATTTAAATTTATAATTTATAAAAATAAATCACTATACACAACAATAGGACATCATAATGGTCATGCATTAAAGTCATTGTTTGGCTCTGGTTTTCAATTTTTTATTTTGGAGAATTTTGAACATATGTAAGGGAAAACAGACTGCATCACAGTCTAATAGCCCTCAACCCATATGAATGTACCAGTAGCCACACTCCTAACTGCTTCCCACTGTGTTATCTTGACGCTTATTTCAGACACCATGTTATCTTATCTACATTTTATGTCTCTAAAGGATAAGCAGTTACCCTTTCTTAGTACTTAGACTTCTATTTCTATGTTTACTTTATTTTCATAGTGAGAAGTGGATAGAACATGGGCAGTTCTTAACCAGGGCTGGTTTTAACTTCTCAGGAGAAAATTAGCAGTAGCAGAATTATTTTTCTTACAACTGGGTTTGCTACTGGCATCTCCTGGGTAAAAGACTAGGACCATCATAAAGATGCAGGCAGTATGTACATAGTAAGTAATTGCTTGTTCCAAGATGTCAGTAGGTGCCACTGTTGATATACACACTTAAGGAAGAAGGAAAAAGTGGTGGTGACAAAAGTAGTTATAGTGGACAAGAACTTATAAACAAGAGAAATACAAAATACTAAGACGTTTTTAATAGCCGTGCTAAGGATTGAAATGGATTTATAATTGAAAAGGCAATTTGAAAGTTATTCCAATCAAAATGTTTAATAAATCAGATGAAACTTGTTTTCTTCCTTCTTAATCATTCCTTTGTTTTACGCATGTATACTGACACCGTAGCACACAGGTGAAGGCTAGAGGACAAATTCCCAGAGTCCACCCTCCTTCCCCTCTGTGAGTTCCAGATACTGAACTCAGGCTTGTCAAGCTTGGCTGCAAGTGCCCTTACCGGCTGAATTATCCTGTCAGACCCTTATGTTTTCAGAGTTAAAGATCAATGCCCTTGTATGGAATATTTGTGTCAGGTGGCAAAAGCACTTCTTGCTTGGGCAGCAGACTCAAGGGAAGTGATAGAAACAAATGTTTGACAAACACAAATACAGCCTGGGACCGGTAGTGTATGAACAATCTAGAAATATTTTGAGTTGGTGAATGATACATAGGAAATTGTTTTCTTTTATGTAAGAGGCACAGTGAATGCTAAACCTTGTTGGCATGTTTTAAGATGAAAACTGATATTAGTTGCCTTAATTCAGGCAGAGTTCTGCTCATTATCCTCCACATAGAACTGCTGGCAATAATTTACCTAGCAGGACAGTTGCTCATGTAGATCAAAGCAGCATTATTTAAGTGTGTCCAGAGGGCAGCTTTTTAGCTCTGCGTCTTCCTCTTTATAGGAAAAGGGAGGGAAAAAGGTTTTCTTCTTGAGATACAAAACACATCTAACGAAGCGGATACTTTACTCAAGTCGAGACTACTGAACACTCACATGATTTCTTCCAACTCTTGGGGAAGTCACCCCTCCAGGCCCCGAATCTTCTCACATCTGTGGGGAAATATAGACAAACATGTAAAAATTAAATAAAATAAACTCCATCCCTTCGTGTGAATAGGAACATACTCCCCGCTTCCTCCCATTAAGCTGGAAAGCCAACGAGGCTCCGAAGAGGACGTGGCTGACAAGGTGCAGTTGTGACAGAAGCTGAGCCCTGCCTGCTTCAGCTCGCAGACCAGTGAAGCCCAACTCTGAAATCTCAGGCAATTTGTGTAGCAAGCTCCTCCTCTCCTGCAGCCGTCTTCTCCATTGGTAAAATTCTTTTGCAGGGTCAAGTAGGGATCCCACCCCTTCTCTGTGTTTTCACTCTGAAGCTCTACACAACTTTACACCTGAATGAGCGCCAAGCCTCTGTGGATATATAAAGGGAACCTAGGGGAGGGATTCCACAGTCAATAGTGCAGAGGCAGGCGGAAAGAATTAAGCGGCTCCTCAGCCAAGCAAATCCTCCACTCATCATGCTTCCTCCTGCCATCCATCTCTATCTCATCCCCCTTATGTGCATCCTAATGAAAAACTGTTTGGCTTTTAAAAACGATGCCACAGAAATCCTTTATTCACACGTGGTTAAACCTGTTCCCGCACACCCCAGCAGCAACAGCACCCTGAATCAAGCCAGGAACGGAGGCAGGCATTTCAGTAGCACGGGACTGGACCGCAACAGTAAGTGTGTTTTACTTGTACAGATTTTTTTTTCCTTTGGGGGAGCATCAGCTCCTATCCCTGTAGAATGGTTTTACTGTAAGCTAGCGTGAATCATCTATGTTTTGCAAAATGATCTGGGAGCAATCTGCTGCATGTGTAGGCTGACTTTCGTTCCTGGGTAGTGATTTTAGAGTTAATATAATTAAAGCGGTGGCTTAATAATGCAAGCACAGACATGGTTTATCCAGTACCCACAGAGAAATGTATCTAGGTATTGAGCTGTTGCTTTTTAAAAAACTCTGCAAAAGGAGAATTCTTTAAAGTGTTGTTCTGCAGTTTAAGCTCACGCTGTCTTACACTCTGTTAATTTTGGAGCATGCACATATTTGGTGAAGTGGCTAATGGTAAGTAAATTGAACTACTTATAGGGAACCACAGAGGATGAAAGGAAGCTTTCAGGCAATAGGACATTGCTCACACAGATGTCTAAAATATGTTTAGTTTGGAGAGGTGTAAAAGTTTGATGATGTTAACTGTAAAGGAGGTCCACAATACAAAATGTTGGAGTGTCATGTTTTTCTAAAATCATTCTTTATTCAATAGGTCAAACTGAGGTAATTGTTTCTGTGAAAGGCTGAGTGCATATTTTAGCAGGAGACTTTAAATAATAGTCTGCTAATGTTTAGCACAGGGAGCGTTTCTTTACCCTTTTCAGTTTGCTTAGTTGATGTGCATGCCAAGTGACTGTACTAGTTGGAGGGGTTCAAATCCCTTCCTCTAACTTATGCTTCATTCTTTTCCTTTAAAAGTGCTTACATTAGGAATCAACCTGAAGAAAGACAGAGAAACAGTGTGCAGGAAATCTTACACAAACCATCGCCCCTCCAGCATAAACTCCATTCAACCACGAAAACGAGTTTTGACCTTTGAAAAGTCAAAGCAAATATAAGCTATGGTGTCTCTCTAAGAAATCCCGAGTGTTTCGCTTGCAGGCTGATTTCAGAGCACAGAAAGCATTTGATCAGTGTTGGGTTACTGAGCAGTGTGGCGGGTACTCATTGCCAGTGAGAGAAACGTCACCACAAAAAATGCCCAATCTTATTCATCCAGGAACAAAAGCCAGGAGAGTCAAAACCAATGCTGGCCGTTTCTAGGTGCATTCCTAAGGCAGCTGCCGGAAGGTGAGCTGGAGTCAGAAGCAGGCAAGCCCAGTACTCTGTCCGGCTAAACCGTTAACCCTTTCATCTCAATCCTCAGCTTTAGCTCTGTACATGCAGATGTATACAAGCCTGGGCGCCACAGCCACACACTTCCCTTAGGCTATGACTCTTAAACCAGACATTCTGGGGCACAGAAATGGAGGGAACTCTGACTCACTGTCCACTTTGAGGTAGTTTCCAGGAGTCAGAAGAACAATTTCACCGGCTTTTATTAGTTTTGGCTGTCACTCTTCATCTGCTGATGTTGTTAAGACCTTCCTTCTTTCCTGGTGAATAAGCCTTGATTTTTTTCAAGTTTGTAATAAGCAATTCCTATTTCGATAACAAAGGTTTTAAACATGAAAGGAAGGAGAAAGAAAACTCCAAATAATTTAAGATTAATTTTTCTTTTAATCACACAAGGCATGTGACCAGAAACAGCCAATTAGATGACATACTTATCAAATCCAAATAACTAAAACAAGTTTTCTATGCCTGATATTCAGGAAATGAACACCATGGTTCCTCGTGCAGTTGTAAATCAGACATGTTAGGTATTTTTCTGCCATAAAATTCATGGAAATGTAGCCAAGTTGTTATGGCAACCATACGTTCCTAATTTAGGGGCTTTTATATTCTTGAGGCATTGAGCTGTGGTGGCATTTTGCATTTCAAACATTTTACTGTTTGTATTTTTAAGACATAGTTTTGGATTTATGTTTAGAATATAGTTATTGAGTTTGCTATGCAAAATGCCAATGGTTGGAGCCATATGCATGCTGTGACCATGCAGCTGACTTCTGAGACTGAAATGAAATGTTACAGCATGCGTGTGCGCTGTACGCAATGTTCGAATACTTTCCACAGCTTCTCGAGAGATTTTTGAAAACCTTAATTAAAAGCACTTGCAGACGCTAACCAATGCGATCCGTGAGAATGAGTACATTAAAGTGTACCCTTTGAGGAGTGGATATTTACAGGAGTTGAACCCTTCTTGGGAAGAGACTGAGAGAATGTGACTTCTAGATACTTTAATAAACAATCAGTTAATGAGACACATGTCTGTCGCCCTCCCTCTCCCCGGAGTTACAGCCTTTGCGCAGCCTGGCCATCACGATGAAAGCGCCCACCCCTCCCACAGATTTGCATTGAGAAAATAAAGCACGTAGTCACTTCTCGGGCAGTTGGCTGCAATTTGGATTATATACAGTCACTGCGAATTACCTAAACCAAGAGCAAAACCCAAACACCGTCCTCTGCTTTCTGTCTCTGAAGCAGCTCTTTCCTGTTTTCCTGCAGGTCGAGTTCAAGTGGGCTGTCGGGAGCTGCGGTCCACCAAATACATTTCTGACGGCCAGTGCACCAGCATCAGCCCCCTGAAGGAGCTGGTGTGCGCCGGCGAGTGCCTGCCCCTGCCGGTGCTTCCCAACTGGATCGGAGGAGGCTACGGCACGAAGTACTGGAGCCGGCGGAGCTCGCAGGAGTGGCGCTGCGTCAACGACAAGACGCGCACGCAGAGGATCCAGCTGCAGTGCCAGGACGGCAGCACACGCACCTACAAGATCACCGTGGTCACGGCCTGCAAGTGCAAGAGGTACACTCGGCAGCACAACGAGTCCAGCCACAACTTCGAAAGCGTGTCGCCCGCCAAGCCCGCCCAGCACCACAGAGAGCGGAAGAGAGCCAGCAAAGCCAGCAAGCACAGTCTGAGCTAGAGCCCGGCTGACCGGAGAGCATCTGCTACCCACATTTTTATTGCTTGGAAGACTCGGGCTTGCCATTGCTCTTTTCTCACTTGAAAGTATACGCTTTCTGCTTTGATCAGGCCCAGCAAGCTGTCCTTCTCTGGGACCTTCTTTGGCACTACTAGCTTTTTCTTTGCAAGTTTCTCAAGATGTAATGAGTCCAGTTTGCAGTGAAAGCCAGGCATCCTGTAGTTTCCATTCCCCGTCATTTCCTAAAAGTACGCACCTGATACTGTCTGTATCCCATCACAGTTTAAAACACTCCACTCCCTAGCTCACCCTCACTCTTCCCAAACGAAATTCCTTCAAACCAGAAAAGTTCGTCGAAAAAAAAAAAAAAAAAAAAAAAAACGTATCTTCACAGAACATTTCAGACCGGGGCCTTTTCCACTAGTTTTCATGGGAATAGTTTGACAGCCAGGGTTTAGCTTCCTTTGAAAGAGAGGCAAAGCTGGTGACATTTCACTTCAAAACTAAGCCCTGTGGCATTTTACAGTCTCAGTGTGAAATTATACCCCGCATGTTGACCTCGCTTGGAATGGAATGCCAGCAACGCATGGCAGCAGCTAATAAGTAAAGCCGATTATTTATTTGTCAATGTTGTTATTTAATGAGCTTTCACATGTGATTTTTTTTCAAAATGTTAATTTTTTTTATGTTTTGAAGCTTTTTCATGTACCTAAATATTTCCCAGTTTGATTTGTGGTTGCTCTAGAAATATGAAAATACATGTTGTAGATATGTAAAATAAATATTTTAGTTTCCTTATATATTACACGTTTCATCATAAACTTTGTCAGTAGCATGGTTCTCCATAAGGCTGAAATATGTAATACTTCATTATTTAGTCCATGCAATCGGAAAGGCAGCTTGACCTTCAATGCCATCGGTTTCTTTTAATAAATATAAACACTGCTAAATGTTATCATCCTTGCCTTTCACATGTGTAAAAAAGGTACGTGCTTGCAATCATTGTAAAATAAAGTTGTAAGTGTAGTCGGCTCTCTCTGTTGTTGCTGGGGATCAAACTTAGGGTCTAGGGAGTGCTAAGCCTGGATTCCATGCCTGGGCTAAGCCTCAGCCTCCAGAAAATTGCTACACCCCTCCCCCCCCCCATAAGTCACACTCAAGTTTTGATAAAGCTATTTGCATGAAGAGAAGGAAGAGGGAAGGAGGAGGGAGGAGGGTTGGGGCACTGATCCTCAGAAGTGGAGGCAGAGGGGAGGGTGGGGGGGCAGTCCACCGCTGAGCTGCCAGGGTACAACCTCTGCTTTTGATCTCCGGACTCCTTTTTTAAGGTAATCTCCATATGCAGCTAGGTTTGAGAGGAAGGATAGGTAATGGGGAGAGCGGAACTTTGAACACTCTTACATGCTCCCACATCACAAAAAGAAAAGAAAAATTCCAGCTAATTCTATAGTTTTCTCAGTTTGGCACACCACTAGCCTAGGCAACATGATGACAGTCATGGACCAGATCACCTGGCTAGATGAAGGATGCTAATGCAAGCGGGTGATCGATCCTGGCTCTTCAAGAGAAAGGATCAGAGAGGCTGGCTTTCCACTCGGCTGATGGGTGAGGAGCCCACCTTAGAGCTGAGTTGTTCCTGTTTGCTAGTTACAAGTCTGTGCATTGCTTGCACATACAGGATGCTGTCAGAGTGGGAACACGGAGACAAGAGCTCCAGATTACAAAATAACATTAACTGTTGTATTAGCATTTTACTATTGAGTTATCTTCCAGATCTTAAACTGTATTAATATTGCATATCAGTGCATGGGGCAGTCACAATGATATTACTGTACTAAAATGTGTCATTTCATAACTTTATTTTATTTGCTCAGTCATAGAAAAACTTGCCTTGACAATGGTTTCAAACCTAAGAAGTGTATCCCTTTCACTAATCAAACACTGAGTGAAGGTCACAGAGAAGATAAAACAAGAGCAAATTCTGATTAACTCAGATTGTGGAATAAAGTATTGTGGACTCAGGATGTGGAATAAAGTAAGCACACATGTGAGACTGCCAACAGTCTTGCCTGAACCAAGAACTGGATCTATTCTTCATGTTCACATTCAATTTGGCAGTCCATATCTGGCTGTGTTAAACTGCCAATGCACTCACTGTGTGGTATTTAATGCTAAATGAGGAAAAGGTCAGCAGTCAGCTGGAAAGGGCTGGAGTACAAGTAAAGTGAAAATTAAAAGTCAACAGGAAGAGCAGATTTTAGTTATCTTTTTAAAAAACTGCTGTGTGTGAATTGCTGTTCATACTTTGAATCTTTTTTAAACAGTGAACTCAGGCTCCGATTTGATAAGCTGCACATGACATTCTTATCACCTTTAGTAACTATCATTTCAAAAGGATAGAGTGTGGTGATTTTAGGGGAGAATGTCCTGGTTGGCTCTCAAAATGTCTACCCCAAAACACATTTACTTAGCAAATTTATTTTGGTTATTATGAATAAAGGGACATTCTACGTAGTTTAATAGATATGTAGATGGCTATGTTGACACATATAACTATATTGGACAGTTATACATACATGTATGTCAATAAGAATAGGGAAGAATACTTACTACTATCTATGCAAATGCACAATATGCATAGTATATTGCACTTAAACCAAACATGGCCATGAAGCCTTTAAAGTGTCTGTTTGCAGGGCCGGAGATGAGGGTGACTGTTAGCAAGCTTGACAGCAGGAGTTCAAGCCCCAGGGCCTCCATTGTAGGAGGAGAGGACTCACACTCACTCCCACAAGCAGCCTTTTGTCTTTACATGGGCTTGTCTGCATACTTACACACATACGCATAAGTAAGTAATACATTTAAATCCATTTGTAAAAATCAATATTTAAGTTGGTAGTCACTATTATTTGCTAACTATGCTAGGTGTAACTAACCAGTCTGCTCTTGAGGGTGGGGTTAAGAGGATCAGAAGTTCAAGACTATCTTCAGCTGCATAAGAAGATTGGCATCTATCTAAAAACAACAACAATAACTGACAAAAGATAATAATTGAAACACTTTAATAATCATCGTTATTTTACTGCATTTTTTTTTTAACTCCATCAAGTTTAGTGTATAAGCACACTTAATTAAAAAGACAGTATCTCTCTTGGAGACGGAGCTCTGTTGGTAGAGAGCTAGTGTAACACAAAGCCCCGGGTTTGGTTCCAACACGGCAGAAGCGCTGGGCATGGAGCCGGTTCCTGTAATCTCAGTGTTTGGATGGGAGAAGCATGAAGTGAGAAATTCATGCTTAGCTACATGGAGAATCTGAGGCCAGCCTGAGCAGATGAGACCTTATCCTCCTAAGGATAACAAAAAACAAACAAAAACCAGCCAAACAAACAAAGAAAGCAAAACTTAGTTTATTCCTGCCCTTTTCTTAAGTGGGCAAAGGCTAACAGAACTTTTTTATTGTGTAATATAACACATCTATTAAACGCAACATTTTTATTGGACACCATCTAATGTTTCACCAAGAGGTTTTAAGGGAAGAAAATAGAATCAAGCAGCAGGAAGATAAAAATTACTTAATATCAAAATTTTAAATGTTACACAGCTTCCTTTTTACATGTTTGATTTTGTATTTGTCATTATTAGGAATCTAGGTGTTAAAATCTACTTTATTTTATTTGGAATTAGAACACCATTTGGATTATATTTAAATCTCAACAATACTTGTTAGTTTTAAAATAATAATCCACTCCTTACCCCGAACTCAGCCCTTCCAAGCTTTCCTATTAACACAGTCTAGAAATAAATCTCATGTAGGTGGCCACCAGCAGATATTTGAATGAATAAAGAAAATCTGAATATTATTCAGTCACAAAGAAGAAAAAAAATGGGTTAGTAAGATGGCTACAGGTTTAAGAGTTTAGCACCAAGTCTGAGATCTTGAGTTAAGTCCTTAAACCCAGAAGAAGGTGGAAGGCAAGAACTAATCCTGAAAATTGTCTTCGGAGCTCTACATGTGTATGTATATGCACACACACACTCACACACACAAATTCACACACATGCACACGCACTCACATATACTTTAGGGAATTGGTTTGGAGATTAACACAATAAGTGAAATAAGTCAGACTCAGACAAATACTTAATGTATTCTTTAATATATGAGATACAGAGTTAAAATGAAAGACATGAAAGCAGAAGGGGCCACCTTGCAAGGAGAAGGTGGTACTGCGGAAGGGACAAGAGAGGGTGACGAAGGTGACGAAGGTGCAATGGTTAATCTTGACTGACAATTTGAAGGTTCTAGAATGACCACAGAAACAAGGCTCTGGCACTTCTGTGAGAGATTATTTAGATTTTGTTAACTGGGATGGGAAGACCCACCTTACGCCGAATATCACATGAATAGAAAGCGAACCAAGACAAAACCCTTCCTTCCAAAAGGAGAGATTTTATTTTTATCTGTGTGTACCTGTCTGTGTCTGCATGTGAGTGTGAACATGTGATGTGGGTGCACAGAAGAAGGTGACAGGTCCCTTGGGGCTGGAGTTATAAACTGTTGTAAGCTGCCTGTTATGAGTTCTGATAACTGAACCACAGTTTTCTGTAAGAGTGTTAAGGACTCTTAATCTCTGAGTCACCAATCCAGCCTTCCCTACCTTTTGTTTTTAATCTTTGTGCATAATTCACTCATATTGCCAACAAACCTGGAAGCCAAAGGACAGCCTCAGGTGTCACTTGTCACCTTCCACCTTGTTTAAGACAAGGCCTCTTGCTTGCCACTGTGTAAACCAAGCGAGCTGGCCTGCAAATGTCCAGGGGTTATCCTGTCTCCACCTTCCATAGGAGCACTGAGATTACAGGCACATACTACTGCTTCAGGCCTTCCAAATGTTCTCGGCATCGAATCTCAGTTCCTCACAGTTGCTCAGCAAAGGCTTTACCCATGGAGCCATGCTGTCCGCACAAACTCTTCTTTGAGATGCTTTGTCATGTGTTTTATAAGAGCAATGAAGGAAGCACTTAATACAAGGGAACTATGACGATTTTTGTATGCTGGTATCAAATACCACAACAAGTCCACTCATTTTCTACAAATCATCTACATAATTCTAAAAAGCGTGTCAAATTTTTGGTGGAATCCTGATAGAAGCCCAGAGGTCCTGTGGGAAGGTGACCCAGGGCCAGATGAGAGCCTCCTCCTTTTTTGAATATAGTTCCTTCCCTTAAGAACAGAGAGGGATAGCTGCCAGCATGTTTCCATTGGAGCTTATCTTGAATTCAAGCAGTCTTTCTCCATTTCTTCACCAGACATTTAGCACATAGAAATCCCCAGTCCCTCTGCGAAGAAAAGCGGCTATAGTAGACAACCCACCAAGCATTCTGCTGACTGGGGTCCTAAGCTGTATCATAGATGTTACTGCAGGAATCCTCCATCTCCATGAGGAGATGGTTTCATTTCCAGGTTCAAATACCTGGCAACATGAATTAGTGCCAAGCTGACCACCTAATCATTTCCAGAGCAAATCCAACCGAGTGGAGGTGCACCTCCAGGCCTGTGGATTTGCTGAATTATTTTCTGGTAACAAATGAGTCAAACACTTGGAGGATTTCTAATAGAAACGAGAGCAATTAAAGAAATGAGATAAGAATGGATACAGAAATTGTGGTACATTTACACAGTGGAATACTATTCAGCAATTAAAAACGATGAAATCATGAAATTTGCAGGCAAATGGTGGGATCTAGAAAAGATCATCCTGAGTGAGGGATCCCAGAAGCAGAAAGACACACATGGTATATACTCACTTATAAGTGGATACTAGACTTATAAGATAGGATAAACATACTAAAATCTTTACATCTAAAGAAGCTAAACAAGAAGGAACCAAGGTAAGAAGATAAATCCTCACTTAGAAAGACAAATGGGATGGACATTTGAAGTAGGAGAAAACAAATAACAGGACAGGAGACTACCACAGAGGGCCGCTGAAAGATTCTACCTAGCAGTGTATCAAAGCAGATGT